TTAATAGGAAAAGTTTTACTTCAAAATGGAATTGTCGCGCATAAATCTAGATTAATCGAATTCTAAAATGAGTACAGTTCATCAGATGAAAAAATAATATTTAAGCCTTGAAATATAGGATAATAGGAGTGGTTAATTTCATGTAAACCTTTCTTAAATTTTCCTAGTAGGGACTAGAAAATGAGCAAAAGTGGTATCTCAATCATGCAAAAAGTTAATTAAAATATAAAATAAATTAAGAGCCTTGTGCACTAAATTCTGATTAGAACAGAATTATAAGATTTTATAGTACGTAATCTTATTTTATATTTCTATAAAAAAAATATTTTCATAACTCGAATTTATATTGATCTCCCGATAACACATCATCAATTAATTAGTACACAGTACTTCATTCCTTAATGTTTTTTGTCATGATGAAAGATTTTGAAAGTTTTGAATTCTGTCCAAATCCTGAGGACAAAAACTTCTATTTCACACAGCAGGAAAAAAAATATTAAAGAAACAAAAATAAAATAAGAATAAAAGTGAGTATTTATATAGCTATACCCTCGTTATAATGATATTTCATTATAGCAACCAGATTTTTTTCATAATCAATTTTTCATGTTATATTTACTTATAACCACAAGTGTCATTCATTATAGCAGTAGACTTTTTTGTAAAATTACCCCTCTATGACAATCATACTCAATATTGTATAATAATATTTTGCAAAAAATATATTATATATAAAATAAAACATTCAAATATTTATGATAATTATCATTAAACTAGGTGAATTTCAATAAATTTTTAGGTAATTATACAAATTATAAGTAAAACTCTCAAACTTATGTAAAAATTTGGGCGAATTAAGTTATTATGACCCATGGTTTTAGCCTATATGATCCAACTTATATCAACCTAATAGTATATGATTGGGCCATCATTTATTAACTCAGTCTATTTAGTTTTAATCAACTCAAATATAATTTAACTCGCTCATTTCACACCGTAGCTATCAATATATACACCTATTTAGTATACCATGAGCTACATAAATCATTGCTAGTTTATTATCTCACCTCAAATGCCTATATAAACATTTCATTGAGCCATCATTTATTAACTCAGTCTATTTAATTTTAATCAGCTCAAATATAATTTAACTCGATCATTTCTCACTGCTGTCAGCTAACAATATATACATAATACACCTATTTAGTATACCATATACCATGAGCTATATATAAATCATTGCTAGTTTATTATCTCACCTCAAAATCCTATATAAACCATCCCCTACATAATCAAGAACATCCCAAACTGTCTACAAGCTCCTCTACTCCCACTTAGAAAAAAAAAATAAAAAAATCCAAAAATGGTGTCTTCAAAATTAGAAGATGGTCTAATTTACAACATAAAATTATCCTCAGTTGGACCAGCTAGAGTAACAGGACAAGATGTTGTTTATGAGCCAAGTAACATGGATTTGGCCATGAAATTACTTTATTTTTTATAATAATAATTCAGCTGACTTAGTAAATATTGGTAGAACTATAGTTGAGAGATGCAGAGGTATACCACTAGCCATTGCGGTGATAGCAGGCATGTTAAGGGCCAAAGAAAGAACAGAATATGCATGGAACAGAGTGCTTGAGAGTTTGGGTCATAAAATTCAGGATGGATGTGCTAAGGTACTGGCTCTGAGTTACAATGATTTGCCCATTGCACTAAGGCCATGTTTTTTGTACTTTGGCCTTTACCCTGAGGACCATGAAATTCATGCTTTTGATTTGACAAATATGTGGATTGCTGAGAAGTTGATAGTTGTAAATAGTGGTAATATGCGAGAGGCTGAAAATTTGGTGGAGGGTGTCCTTAATGATTTGGTTTCTAGAAACTTGATTCAAGTTGCCAAATGGAAATATTCGCATACATGACTTGTTACATAGTTTGTGTGTGGACTTGGCTGAGGAAAGTAACTTCTTTCACACTGAGCACAATGCATTTGGTAATCTCCGCAATGTTTCTAGGGTGCGAAGGATTACATTCTACTGTGATAATAATGCCATGAATGAGTTCTTTTGTTCAAATCCTAATCATAAGAAGCTTCGTGGACTTTTCTGTTTCACAAAAGACTGTTGCATATTTTCTGAATTGGCTCATCTTAACTTCAAATTATTGCAAGTGTTGGTTGTAGTCATGTCTCAAGATGGTTATGGGGCTTTCACTATGGGAAACAAATTTGGGAAGATGAGTTGCTTTATGCTATCTGCGATTGGAGTGGAAAATTGCCAAATAATATTGTGAAGCTCAAATGTCTAGAGACCATAGATATTGGAGTGGGCGACATTGAACTTCGTTGTAGTGTTTAGGATTTTAAACAATTGAGACATGTTCATTGTAGAGAAGAACTTAAGGGTTTCTTTTCTATAAGCCCAAACATGTGGCTCATGATAATCTACAAACTTTGATGTGGATGGATGATAAATTTTTTGACGCAAGATTGTTGCACCAATTGATAAATTTAAGGAAACTGGGTATTAGTTCAGCATCTGATTCTACCATTAAGATATTATCAGCATTGAGCCCTGTGCCAAAGACATTGGAGGTTCTGAAGCTCAAATTTTACAATGAATCGAGTGAGCAAATAAACTTGTCCTCCTGTCCAAATATTGTTAAGTTGCATTTGGAAAAAAAAAATGCCCTTGAACTGTGAAGCATCCCTCCAAATCTTGTCAAGCTTACTCTTGTCTACTTGACGGTAGACGATCATGTAGTGTCAGTGCTTAAGAAATTGCCCAAATTACGAATACTTAGAATGGTTGTCTGTGAACATAAAAAAGAAGAGATGGATCTCTTTGGTGATGGCTTTCAGCAACGTGAAGTTTAGCATATTCAAAATCCACTCCGGTTGCCTGAAATAATATGTACGGATGAGTCAGTATGCCTAAACTGAACAAGCTATTACTTGTAGATACCAAATGCGAGAGGTCAGTATGTCTCTCCGAACGTCTTGCAAAGCTGAGAATATGAAAATCCCAAGCTTATTTTCTATTTAATCAATTCATGAGCTAAATATTTTATGTCTAATAAATTGCAGATGCATTATAGAATGATTTAACTCTTCTTCTGATGCATGTTTGTATTTGTAATTAAAATGTTTGATTGCTTTCTTGTGCCTTGTGATTTGTAAAAGATATATAAAGTAGTAAGGGGTAGAGATTAACATTTGATATATATGTACGGCTGAAGTTAGTGAATTATTATAGTCTTAAAGGATTATTGATTGACACAATAATCCAATATTAAAAATAAAACTGAACAAATAACCCACTATTTTTTTTATTAAAATCATTTAAAACCCGTTGACCCTATAACCCAAGAGGAATAAATCAATAGTATTTTTTTCGATTCAATTTACATACAAAGGACTTAGTTTTGAACTTAACAATTAATTTATGTACTCTCCACTATGATTATATAAATTAACTTTGCTAATGTCAATTAGGAAATAAATGCAATGAACGTTCCTAGAACTAGTATATATATATATATATATATATATATATATATTCTAGTGGGATAATCATATACTGCTTCAATCGGCTGACGACTCTAAAAATTCTTTATTCTTGTTTGAAAATGAAATATATAATAAAGTTTAACAATTGTTTTAATGAACTGAAATATAATCAGACGAAGCAAATTCCAGAAGCTTCGGTGTGAACTCATCTTTGCCATTGAATTTTTCGCGTAGCACTGCCTCAATTGTCTGACTTTTAACATGGATCCAAGATTGTCATTAAGGTGGCAATGATTGTAATAAAAAAATATAATTTGAGGCTAATAGCACAAAAACACACGACCTCAAGGAACTTTCGTAATACCTTAACCATTACACTAAACATTTTAACTTGTGTCCAGATGTGTCAATACTTATATATATATATATATATATATATATATATATATATATTAAATCAAACGGTGGGTCTGTCCCTGCATTCTTGAAAACAAAATACCAGCTAATATGATTAAGAATAGATGAATTATTGTATTTAATATGAACCGAGTAGTTGTTTCTGTCCATTTGTTCTTTCTTTTTCATCTACTTGACATTATTATTAGTAATTACAAGACTTGGCCGTTGACTCCAACACCTAAAGCAAATAGTACATCTTTCTTATCCTTTTACCAATAATCGATCATCTTTTTCCCTTACTTTCGCTTGCTAATCCTCACATTTAGAAAAAAGAAATTTAAGGAAAAAAGAGATGGCTGAAATTCTTCTCACAGCAGTCATCAATAAATCAATAGAAATAGCTGGAAATGTACTCTTTCAAGAAGGTACGCGTTTACATTGGTTGAAAGAGGACATAGATTGGCTCCACAGAGAAATGAGACACATTCGATCATATGTAGAAGATGCAAAGGCCAAGGAAGTTGGAGGCGATTCAAGGGTCAAAAACTTATTAAAAGATATTCAACAACTGGCAGGTGATGTGGAGGATCTATTAGATGAGTTTCTTCCAAAAATTCAACAATCCAATAATTTCATTTGTTGCCTTAAGACGGTTTCTTTTGCGGATGAGTTTGCTATGGAGATTGAGAAGATAAAAAGAAGAGTTGCTGACATTGATCGTGTAAGGACAACTTACAACATCATGGATACAAATAATAACAACAATAACGATTGCATTCCATTGAACCAGAGAAGATTATTCCTTCATGCTGATGAAACAGAGGTCATCGGTTTGGATGATGACTTCAAAATGCTACAAGCCAAATTACTGGATCAAGATTTGCCTTATGGAGTTGTTTCAATAGTTGGCATGCCCGGTCTAGGAAAAACAACTCTTGCCAAGAAACTTTATAGGCACGTCCGTGATCAATTTGAGTGTTCGGGACTGGTCTATGTTTCACAACAGCCAAGGGCGGGAGAAATATTACATGACATAGCCAAACAAGTTGGACTGATGGAAGTGGAAAGGAAAGAAAACTTGGAGGGAAACCTACGATCACTCTTGAAAATAAAAAGGTATGTTATTCTCTTAGATGACATTTGGGATGTTGAAATTTGGGATGATCTAAAACTTGTCCTTCCTGAATGTGATTCAAAAATTGGCAGTAGGATAATTATAACCTCTCGAAATAGTAATGTAGGCAGATACATAGGAGGGGATTTCTCAATACACGTGTTGCAACCTCTAGATTCGGAGAACAGTTTTGAACTCTTTACCAAGAAAATCTTTACTTTTGATAACAATAATAATTGGGCCAATGCTTCACCAGACTTGGTAGATATTGGTAGAAGTATAGTTGGAAGATGTGGAGGTATACCTCTGGCCATTGTGGTGACCGCAGGCATGTTAAGGGCAAGAGAAAGAACAGAACGTGCATGGAACAGAGTACTTGATAGTATGGGTCATAAAGTTCAAGATGCATGTGCTAAGGTATTGGCTCTGAGTTACAATGATTTGTCCATTGCATTAAGGCCATGTTTCTTGTACTTTGGTCTTTACCCCGAGGATCATGAAATTCGTGCTTTTGATCTAACAAATATGTGGATTGCTGAGAAGTTGATAGTTGTAAATAGTGGTAATAGGCGAGAGGCTGAAAGTTTGGCAGAGGATATCCTAAATGATTTGGTTTCTAGAAACTTAATTCAAGTTGCCAAAATGGCATATGATGGAAAAATCTCAAGTTGTCGCATACATGACTTGTTACATAGTTTGTGTGTGGACTTGGCTAAGGAAAGTAACTTCTTTCACACGGAGCACAATGCAATTGGTGATCCCGACAATGTTGCTAGGGTGCGAAGGATTACATTCTATTCTGATGATAATGCCATGAATGAGTTCTTCCATTTAAATCCTAAGCCTACGAAGCTTCGTTCACTTTTCTGTTTCACAAAAGACTGTTGCATATTTTCTCAAATGGCTCATTTTAACTTCAAATTATTACAAGTGTTGGTTGTAGTCACGTCTCGAGATTATTATCAGCATGTTACTTTCCCAAAAAAAATTGGGAACATGAATTGCCTACGCTATGTGCGATTGGAGGGGAGAATTAGAGTAAAATTGCCAAATAGTATTGTCAAGCTCAAATGTCTAGAGACCCTGGATATATTTCATAGCTATAGTAAACTTCCTTTTGGTGTTTGGGAGTCTAAAAAATTGAGACATCTTTGTTACACAAAAGAATTATACTGTGTCTTTTTTGTAAGTCCATTTTACCGAATCATGCCTCCTAATAATCTACAAACTTTGATGTGGGTGGATGATAAATTTTGTGAACCGAGATTGTTGCACCGATTGATAAATTTAAGAACATTGTGTATAAGGGATGTATCCGGTTCTACCATTAAGATATTATCAGCATTGAGCCCTGTGCCTAAAGCGTTGGCGGTTCTGAAGCTCAGATTTTTCAAGAACACGAGTGAGCAAATAAACTTGTCGTCCCATCCAAATATTGTCGAGTTGGGTTTGTTTGGTTTCTCAGCAATGCTCTTGAACATTGAAGCATTCCCTCCAAATCTTGTCAAGCTTAATCTTGTCGGCTTGATGGTAGACGGTCATCTATTGGCAGTGCTTAAGAAATTGCCCAAATTAAGGAAACTTACATTGCTTAGGTGCAGACATGATGCAGAAAAAATGGATCTCTCTGGTGATAGCTTTCCGCAACTTGAAGTTTTACATATTGAGGATGCACATGGGTTGTCTGAAGTAACGTGCATGGATGATATGAGTATGCCTAAATTGAAAAAGCTATTACTTGTACAAGGCCCAATCATTTCCCCAATTAGTCTCAGGGTCTCGGAACGGCTTGCAAAGTTGAGAATATAAAAATCTCACAAGTACTATAAATAATTATTTACGTTTAATATCCATGAATTTTTGAAATGGTGATAGCTTTCCGCAACTTGAAGTTTTACATATTGAGGATGCACATGGGTTGTCTGAAGTAACGTGCATGGATGATATGAGTATGCCTAAATTGAAAAGCTATTACTTGTACAAGGCCCAATCATTTCCCCAATTAGTCTCAGGGTCTCGGAACGGCTTGCAAAGTTGAGAATATAAAAATCTCACAGGTACTATAAATAATTATTTACGTTTAATATCCATGATTTTTTGAAATTTGTATTTAGTTCATCAACTAAATATTCCATCTCTAATAAATTGCAGGGATGCTTTTGAAAATGATTAAGTCTGTGTTGGAGAGAATCTTCTGATGCCTGTTGGTATTATAATACTAATAATAAGAGAAAAAGTTTGATTGCTGTTTCAAGTTAATTGCTTGTGATTTGTAAAAACAAATTAATATTGTATTTCTCTTTGTTTTGTTTTTTGTTTATTTATCTTTAATTAATGGAGTAATAAAATAAAATTCTTATTCTCAATAGAAAAAAGTAGACCTTATTTGTGGTGTATGTATGGTATCTTTTTGAAATTTTTGATATATTTACTCTTTGATTCGAATTTCTTGCTTATATGATGATTTGCATAAATATAAAATATTATACAAATACCTATGGGTTGGAACATATAGAAATATGCCAATCAAATGTATACAAAAATCATTAATAGATAGAATCGTAAAAGATATACAAATGAGAAATGCTAGATTAAGAAGCTTCGTGCAACCTCTCACACCGAGCACAATGCATTTGAATTGGTGATCTCGGCAATATTGCTATTACTTGTAAGACTCCGTTCCCCAATAAGTCTTTCCAAACGGCTTGCAAAGCTGAGAATATGAAAATCTCACAGGTTAGTTTGCTGCGTTAATTATTTACATTTAATATGCTCGATAAGGTGATTTTTTTAAAATTTGTACTAGTTAGTTCATGAACTAAATATTTCATTTAATACTCCATAATTCTGAATATGCGTGGAAGGATTTGGATGTGAGTACCGGGTGGAAAAACAAGAAAATGGATTTACTTGTCATGTTTCGTGAGAGTTAATTTGATTAACTTTCAGAGTCATTGAATAAAATTCAATCAATATTTTAAATTTTAAATTTAGATGTTTAAAAACTATATATGATCAATCTTTCTCATATTAATATGATGAAAAAATACATCTCAAAGTTCATATATATATATATATATATATATAGTTTAACTCTCAAAAAACGAAACGTAATAAGTTAAAATAAAAGGATAGAATAATTAATTGCAAAAATATTCATCTTAAAATGTTGATCAAAGTTTATATAGTTTGACTCTCAAAAAATGAAACGTAATAAGTTGAAATAAATGGATATAATAATTTATCGCAAAATTATTCATCTTAAAATGTTAATCCAAATTCATATAGTTTGAATCTCAAAAAACTAAACGTAATAAGTTAAAACAAACGGATAGAATAATTTATTGCAAAATTATTCGCACAACTACCTCAATGTAGACAATAGAACCACACTATAAATAACTTTCAATGAATTTCTCCAACTACCAAATTTAAAGCTTGCTATTCTCGAACCCACAACTTTAACGTGGAAAACATTTTTAATAAGTATTGACAGTAGTTATCATTATCCATGTTTAGTAAATAAAAATAATACAGGTCTTGAAATATAGGATTGTAAGAGTGGTGAGTGGATAATTCATGTAAACCTTCTTAAATTCTACTAGCAGGGAATATAAAATGAGCAAATGTGGCATCTCAACTATGCTAAAAGATAATTAATAAATAAATAAATTATTAACCATGTGTACTAAATTCCGGTTATATGAGGAGTCCAAAGAAGAGATGGATCACGAGAATCTATTATACGTAATTTTATTAGTATTTTTTGTAAGAGTCTATTTTCACAACTCGATCCATACCACTACAGGAAAAGTGTGAATTACATGAGGATTTTCCTAGAGATTAGTATGAAAATTCACAGAAAATTTATTTTCCTGTAAATTTTCATACTAATCCCCCGGAAAATCCCCATGTAATTCATCGTTTTTTTAGTAGTGTGCTAACCTCTTAATCACATGCCAACAACCAGAACATGGTACTCACTCCTTAATGTTTTGTCATGATGAAAGATTTTGAAAGTTTTGAATACTGTCCAAATCGTGAGGACAAAAACTTCTATATCACACAGCAGGAAAAAAACATAAACAAAAAAATAATAAGAAGAAAAAAATTGACGTACGTATATAACTAAATTAATTTAATATTTAATTTAGTTATATGTATTTGGTGAGTGAAAGGGAGCTTTGGAGCTATGTAAAATTGTCATTATATTTCATGAGTTCGAGTTCTGAAATCATCCACTAATGATATTTATATTAGGTCTCTCAAAGTTTTGTATAAATGCGAGATGTTTTAATTTGTAGAACTTTTGAAATATATACAGCTCTTTTGTACTTTTGACCTTATAAGTTGACCACCCTTCGTCGGAAAATTAGACGACGTATATAGGCAAAATATTCTTTATTATTTGAATATATAGATAAATGAACACACTTAAATACAATGAATGGTGTTAGTCCAGCGGTAATCTCGCTCAATTGAATGTTTGAGGTCCCAAGTTTGATTCTTGCTCAGTGCACAATTTTTTTTCCCAAAAAAAGAAGAAGAAAAGAACAAAAATAGTTGCTCTATCTTTCTATTTCAAGCCTTGAATTAATAGTACTAAGAAATTACATTTAAAGATATACTTAATGGTCACTTTCCATTTTTATTCTTTTGATTATTTCTAAATTATTTTTTAAAATAGTTAAGAATCTCAATAAAAGAAAAGGTAAATATAGAAAAAAAAGTCTCACCAATTCTCTTGAACTACAAAAAATTCACGAAAAAACTCCTAACAATTCATTTGATATGAACCAAAGGGAGTCTATTCAATTAGCAGCTAATAATGTTTTTCTTAGTTTTTCTCCGTTAATTTTGATTTATACCATTGATAGTTTTATAATTTAAGTTTTTGTATGATTTAGTTAAATAATATCTAATTTAATTTTAAATTTGGATGCACCCACTCATTAGTAAAAAACATATTTTGTGCACCCACTTCGCTAAAAAAAAAAAATTCACTCTTTTAAAGTTTGAACACCCTTGACGAAATTCCTGGCTCCGCCACTGTCTTATAAGCATGGGCGGAGCCAGCCTTTTATTAAGGGGTTCATCCAAACCTTCTTCGGCAGAAAAATTTACTATTTATACATGATTAAAATTATTTTTTATGTATATATAATAGATGTCGAACCCCCTTTAGTTAGTTCGTGTATTTAGTTCTTCAGATATTGAACACCCTTATTAAAAATCCTACCTCCGCCACTACTTATAAGTTTTGTATTTTGTTAAACAATTACTATTTCGTGAGTTAAAAAAGTTTTTTATTTAATTTTTTTACCACTTTAATTTTGGGAATGTCTTTCAAATATATAAATTGTTTGTAATTATTGTAACTTATACCATTAGATTTCTCTATAACAGTCACTTATTATAACGATATTTTACTGTAATGGTCTAATTTTTTTTTTAAATCAGTTTTTCATGTTATGCTTTACTTCTTTATAACAATTAAACTATAACGACAATGTCATTCATTATAATAGTACATTTATTTTTTATAAAATTACCTTTCTATAATAGTCATACTCAAATATTATATATTAATATTTTAAGCCTCTATTATTTTCTTAAACTGGTTAACAAATACATTCCTTTTTCTCAAAGTTTGGAAAAAATCTTTGTCAATTCAAGTGATATATTTATATTTCAAAATTAATTTTAAATGCACATGTTCCTTAGATTTTAATTACTTGTCGGTATAATACGTTAAGTTATGAATTTATTAGTAATGTATTAGTCATTTTAATTTTTAATTCATGACCAATGAAGTATGAAAATCAATTCAGATTTTAAATTTATTCAATCTTTGAAAATTTGGAATTTAAATATTCAAAAACTATACAAACTAAAAGTTACAATTCTTTTCATATTAATATGATGAAAAAAAATATCTTAATTGATTAAATAATTTGACTCTTAAAAATCAAAACATAGAAAAAATAAATAATTGGAGAGAGTAATCTATTGCAAAATTAATCACACAACTACCTCCATGTGGACAATCAACGCCATAAATAACTTGCAAATGAATTTCTCCAACTACCAAAATTAATCACACAACTACCTCATTTACTACATTAATTATAAGATTTGTTAGCTCTTTAATCACTTAGATAACGACTATTCCTTTCTTTTATTCCATTTAACATATGGAAAAATTGAATTCCTATATAAGATAAGTTTAAAATATTTTCAGCTGGAGTACACTCTTGCGGTCAAAATTAAATTAATGCTAGTGGTTTTGGAAGCTAAATTTGTTTTAAAGTATTTGATGTCGTACAAATATAAAGAGGAATCAGATATAGAGGTGGAGGTCTCGGATTCAAATTTTGAGTGAGACTATTCCTTGTAAATCCAAATTATTCAAAAATGAATACCACACACCTGAGAAAATAATACAAGTCTTGAAATATAGCATAGTAAGAGTGGATAATTTCATGTACTGCTTCTTAAATTATCGTGTAGTAGGGAATGGAAAATGAACAAAAGTGGCATCTCAATTATGCAAAAAGTTAATTAAAAATGAATAAATTAGAAGTTTGTCCATTGTACGTAATTTTACCTTGCATTTTTATAAGAGTTTGAATTCACCGCTCGAACAGAGGAGTTGTTTGTGGCCTCTTCTTTTTCATTTACTTGACCTATTTAGAAGACTTGTCCGTTGACTCCAACACTAAAGTAAATAGTAGATCTAATCTGATCTTTCTTTTACCAATAATTGATCATCTTTTTCTCTTACAGCTTTTCCTTACTCATCCTCAGAT